ACCGAATGTGAGATCGATAGTGAGTTTGATCATGAGATCGATAGTCAAATCGAATGCGAGATCGTTTGTGCTATCGATTGCGAGATCAATAGAGAGACCGAATTTGAGATCGATTGTGGGATCGATTGTGAGATTGATTGTGAGATCGATAGTCAGACCGATTGTGAGATCAATCGGTTGAGATCGAATGTGAGATCGGTAGTGAGTTCGATAATCAGATCGATCGAGTGCGACGTTGGTCCCTCCCCCCCCTCACCTCCTTATCACCCGAAGGGTGGTCTACGCGGTAGGCTTAGGGCTATAGTCGGCGGTGGACACACCTCCCTTTAGTAAACCTCCCCTTCGTGAAAAGTGAAAACGGCCTGGGACCGAAACCGACGGACCTGGACCCGCAAACTGCAGGCCGCGACGCCCTCTCGCGAACCGAAAACGGCCAGTTCGCCCATCGACGTGCCAGGGTAGGGGGTCGGTCCACCCCCGATATATTAACGGGCGAAGAACGGTCGGAGGTTTGGGGGTGAGATCGAAGTGGAACGGAGAGCCCCCCTACCGGGAAATCGATTTCGGTTTCGTGTTCGTGCGTGCCGTGCGGGCGAGGCGAAGCTGCGTGGGCGGGCGAGAGAAAGTCTCCTGTGGCTGAGGCGCGGCCGGACCAAATGTCTCCCTTCCGGGCGGCCGGGGGCCCGCGGTGTCCCGCCGTGTCCCGCTGGTGTCCCGTGTGGCTGAGGCGCGGCCGGACCAAATGACTCCCTTCCGGGCGGCCGGGGGCCCGCGGTGTCCCGCCAGTGTCCCGCTGGTGTCCCGCGGTGTCCCGCGGTGTCCCGCGGTGCCCCGCGGTGTCCCGCCGGAGTCCCGCCGGTGTCCCGCGATGATGATGATGATGATGATGATGATGATGATGATGAGATGATGATGATGCTGCTGATGATGATGATAATGGTGATGCTGATGATGATGCTGCTGATGATGATGACGATGATGATGATGATGATGATGATGATGGTGATGCTGCTGCTGATGATGATGATGACGATGATGATGATGATATGATGATGATGGTGTCCCGATGATGATGATGATGATGATTATGATGATGATGATGATGATGTCGATGATGATGATGATAATGATGATGATGATGCTGATGGTGTCCCGATGATGATGATGATGATGATGATAATGATGATGATGATGATGATCATGATGATTATGTTTATGATCATGCTGATGACGATGATGGTGTCCCGATGATGATGAGTATGATGATGTTGATGTTGATGATGCTGATTATGATGGTGTCCCGATGATGATGTTGATGATGATGATTGATGATGATTATGGCGTCCCGATGATGATGATTATTCTGATGGTGATGATGATGATGTTGATGATGATGGCGTCCCGATGGTGATGATGATGATGATGTTGATGCTGATGTTGGTAATGATGATGATGGTGCCCCGATGATGACGATGCTGATGATGCTGATGATGATGTTGATGATGCTGATGATGATGTCGATGAGGAGGATGAGATGATGATGATGATGGTGTCCCGATGATGATGATGGTATCGATGGTGATCATGATGATGGTGTCCCGATGATGATGCTGCTGATGATGATGATGACGATGACTGTGTCCCGATGCTGCTGATGATGATGTTGATGATGATGATGATGATGATGATGATGATTGTGATGATGGTGATGATGATGATGGTGGTGTCCCGATGATGTTGATGACCGTGATGATGATGTTGGTGTTGATGATGAGGACGGTGTCCCGATTATGATGATGCTGGTGGTGATGATGTTGATGTTGATGTTGTTGTTGATGATGATGATGATGATGATGATGACGTTGATTGTGATAGCGGTTGTGATTTCGATGGTGAGATCGACAGTGAGACCGAATTTGATATCGATTGTGAGATCGATTGTGAGATCGATAGTCAGATCAATTGTGCGATAGATCGAGTGAGATCGATTGTGAGATCGATCGAGGGAGATCGATCGAGCGAGACCGATACTGAGATCGATAGTGAGATCGATAGTGAGACCGATCGAGTGAGACGTTGGTTCCTCCCCCCCCCGAACCTCCTTACCACCCGAAGGGTGGTCGTATAGGTATAAAATAAACTTTTTCGCCGTCGGGGACACCTGCCCCTGGGCGGCTGGGAAGTTTCTACCCCTGTTCTTCGCTCGCTGAATATAGGCGAGCCAGGACGCTTCGCCACTGCTCGATCTTTTCGGCGGCGGCGTGCGCTCAGGCCCGTGGCGGCGGGCGGCCGGCGCGAGCGGGCGGGGGCCGCGGCGCCGGCGGGCTGCCGGCGCGCCCGCGGGAGCGGTTGGCGGGCGGCAGCAGCACCTGCCGGAGGCGGAGCGGAGCGGAGCGTCGACGCCGGCGCCGACGCCGACGAGGAGGACGAGGACGAGGACGAGGACGAGGACGAGGACGAGGACGAGGACGACGACGAGGCTGACGAGGACGAACGCCGA